CTGCTTAATCATCTAGGAGCGACCCTCTGAAGTGGCATTTAATCAGTTTTGATGCGGCTGGCAAAGTGAGTTATGCTAGAGGACCATAACGGAAACACCTAGGGAAGAAGGAAAACCGCTCAGAAGGATGACTGGGAAAGTCTCATAGCAGAGGTTGGGTGCTCAAGTCAGGGCAGCCTGCAAAAAGCCCTGTTACTTACCTCTTTATTAGCTCTTCCTGGGAAGAGCAGAGCATAAATAGAAGAATAATTCAAGGGCATCCCTGCATGTCATGGAAGGAAGTTTGTGGGATTTGGGTATCCTGAGAATCTGCCACTGCTGGAGCATCTGCTGGGGACATTGTGCAAAGTGTGAGACTGAAAACAGCTCTTCTGCCGCTCTACGTTTAGCAGAGAGCTAGGTCACCTCCCAGCATCGGCAGGACCAGGGAGAGAAAAGATACTTCTGCCAGCACCCCTGCTGCCTGAGCAGCATGGTTCCTCTGCCCAAGGTGGATATGTGTAGTAATGGGCAGATACAGAGCCTGGAAGAATGGTTAATGTAGTGTGCTATTTTTCTGTTTAACCCTGATTTGCTGTTTTTCAGGCCTTGTTGTAGAGGAATTAAGAAGTTAAGCGTGTGAGATAGATAGAAACAAAGGGAACGGTTAAATTGGCATTAATGGGGAGGGTGACATCAGGACAGGAGAAAACCAAAGTATTGTGTGGGGTTTCAAAAGCAAAGAAGAGAAACTTAACTTGTTACCATAGTTGAGAGCAGACATGTGGAGGTGGCAGGATGGCTGTAGGCCAGTCAGGAGGCCAAAGCGCTGGGTTTTGAGCAGTCCGGAGAGGAGCAGTGTGGGAACAGGGGAGTCTGTGAAGAGGTGGGAGCAGAAGCAAAGTATGGCCAAGATCTTAGAAGACTAGAAAGTCAGAGAAGAGCAAAACAGCAGCCTAACTGCTAAATCCAACCTGTTTTCCCCTTGAGAATCTGCAGCGTGGGTGTCCAAGGTGACGAATACCTTTAATAGGTGCTGGAGAAAAGTATTCAGTATTCCCCACTGTGTCCAGTGCCTCGCGGGACTATGTCACTGAATGGCTAGGATGGTTTGAATTGGGTAAGCTAAAATGGAGCAAGCCCCTCCAGTGTACGCACCAAAGTCTGGAGGAGCCTCTTCTGAGTCCTGCCGCAGACCTTCATCAGAAGAGCATTCAGGAAAAAATGAATGCCCCCCACCTGGTTCTTCATCTCTTCTCAGATCAATCTACTAGACATCTCTGCTGAGACAACTTGAAAACCTTCAGCTTTGCTTCAAAAGAGTTCATGAATTCCCCTCACAGTTCAGGTGCACTCACCAAGCATGGGGAATTCCTTTAGATCTCTTCTGAAGAGTGCTTTTAAGTCAGGAGACTGCTTGTACCTACAAAGCAAAGTTGCTTGCTCATAAACCAGCTCTCCGCTGGAAGCACTATCTCCCTAAGAAGATTCGTTGTTGTTCCCTGTTCCCTCTTGCCTAGATATCTGTAATTACCCCATGGCTAGGTAAATATCTTTATTATATCCCATGCCAAGCTATATTCCCCCTCCTACGATAGAAGATGCACATCAGCTCTCTTTGGCTGAGAATGAACACTCGTGTCTGAAAAGAAACTGGCCGCTGTCCAGATCTCAGCATCACACATCCTGGCAAAATGTTTTCCAACATCAAACTGTAGCAAAAAAACAAACTTTGGTTTGCTCCTCCAGTGTTAATATCACCACCCACGACTGCTGCTGAAAGCTCTTACAGCTATTCTTTTATAATCAGCTGGTAGGGTGATAGGAGAAATAAGGAAGAGTTACCCTGCTCAGTGCCACACCAGGATGGACGGGGTAACCAAGGCAGCCTCTTAGCTTTCCAGTGAGGGCACTGTGCAAAAAGGAAGACTGAAGAGGGTAGATATGTTCTCTTTTTCATTGTAGCAATTGTGATGCACCAGATTTTCTTTGTGGACTCTCGTCATTTCTTCCCAATTGCAACACAGGTAGCCCAGCTCATTCTGCTCCTAGAGCAGGAATTGGCTTCTGAAAAAGCAATTTTTTCCCCCAGCAATCCAGTCACAGACTTGTACCTTTGACGATGGCTCCCTTTCATCTCTCTTCTTTGCTGCTTCTTCCTGCCTGGCGTATTGGTAAAAGCAGCAGACTTCAGGGAGCAGATTCAGGGCCACAGCCCTTAAAGGCTTGGCTCTGTGTGTTTGTGTGGGATGTTAAGTTGCTTTGTGGTAATATCTCACCACTCCCCTCTCCACATCTTTGGTAGAAACCTTCTGTTGTTTGCTAGCTACGACTCTAAATGAGCACATACTTACCCTCCTGTTAGCTTTCTAGCTTAGCAGATTTTTGCTTTCCAAAGGCATGTGTGATGAGTATTCAGTTTTATCAGCGTAAGCCAAAGGTCTCCAGCCCCCTCTCTGCCAAACAAGAAGAGTGTCCTGTGTTTGAGCTATGAAGCTCTGTGGCGGATAAAGTCACGGTTCGTTTGATGGCTTTGCTTTCTTTGGCAAATAGTACGGTCTTTCCTTTTTCATCTCTTTTCCCTTTGTCCCATCTCTATTCTGTACCTTAGGGTTTTTAAGCATCTCACGTTGAACGTTTCACATTTTGAGGTAATTAGAATTTAATCGGCACCGGGTTTTTTAACAGGTTTGTGGGCAGTCAGTGGCAGGGTGGCTCTATAACGGGCTCCCACCCACACGCCGCAGGGTTCGTGCCCCGTTAATTACCCCGGGAGCTGGCAGTGCCTCACCGACGACGTGGGCAGGCTCACGTGGGGGCTGTTTGCATGTGTTAACCAGTTCGTCGCGCAGGTCTGACCTACAAACAGGGATCCTTTTCGCCCACCTGTGTAACTGGGATGAGCCTTTCTTCCCCGCCCCGCCACCGGCCTCAGTACCTCTGGATATCGTGGTGTGCGGCGCCTTGGCTGCTACCCGCGAGTGAGACCTCCGGTCCACAGTGGGGGCGTGGAGAGGGACATGCTCAGATCTCCCGTCAGGATGTTCACATGGGCACCACTGGAAGGAGGAGGTGCTTTATCTTTATTGTTGTATACATGTGTTTTTGAAAAGGTACTGTGCTAAGATTGATGAGTTCACAAGCCCATTAAAACCACGGTGGTGCAGGCAGCTGCTGTGCACACGACAGCTTGGAGGGGTGGAGGGAGGTGCCGGCAGCTATCCTCTTCAGTACAGTAACTATCTCCTTTTATTCCCTGGTGTAAGGCGAGTGTTGCGCTTCCATTTATGTCTCTTCTCTGCAACCTTCCCTCCGCCCTGATCCACGGTTTTATTCCCATCCGCCAGCGCACTCCTCCCAGGCTGACTCAGTGGGCCGCCTCTCTTCGGCACAGCCCTTCGAGCAGAGAGCAATTGCTCTCCCTGCCCTGTCTGTCTAGAGCTCTTTTCTCAGCCCTCCGAGCAACTGAGTCACTTCCTTCTTTAAATCTGACCTTAAATCTTCCTTTTCGCTTAGCCTTATGATTCATTCTCTTTGTGTTTTGAGCAGCTCTGTATGAAAAACACTACACAAAAGGAAGCTCCCTGTGCATAACGTCCTGCTTGTCTTTAAGCGGAGTGGCAGTGGCAGGCCCCTGTCCGAGTGCTGGTACCCCGGCTCCCTGCTCGGGGACACCAGTGCATCGGCTCATTGGGTATCGCTCGGCAGTGCTAGCAGGTTTCTCTTAGTTTTATGTCTGACGTGATGAGAGGAGCCAACTTCTGCTGGGGGTGAGCATGGGTAATTACCATTGACATCAGCATGTGCACAGCTCTACCCTTTTCCCACCCCGTTTAATTAGATGCAGTACAAGAGTCATTACAGCATCTCTGCCACTCCTCCTCATTTCTTGGAGGATTAAAGGACTCCTTGCTTTTAGAGCTGAGTCAAAATGTGCTCAGATAAAGGAAAGCTTCAATTTCTGCTTCATAAGCCTGGAGATGTTTTTAGCCTAACATCTAAACTTCTCCGTTTTTCTTACGAGGTTTATTTTTCTCCCTTTCTTGCTTATTTCCCTGGCCCTGGTCCCCCTCATGTCCAAGTTCCTCATCTTTTCACAGTTCCCTGGCATGAAAGGGAGTTGCCAACCAACAGAGTAGTTAAACACGAGATGCTTGTTGTCTTGAATTAGCCTTATGGCCCCCTTGACATCAGTAGACCTGTTCCAGTTACCAGCAAAGGGTGGGATAGCATTTGTAAAAGCTCTTAAATCCTGCTGTCAGATGTGACTTAGGTAGTTAAGCGCTAAATCTCTTTCACTATCATTGCAGTTTAGGCTTACAAATACTTAAGATGCTCAGGCACCTAGAAAAATGTCCCGCGAATGCCTTGCCCCCAGAGTCTGGGTGGAAATGGGAAGGACCAGGAAGCAGACCCAGATTTTGTGAGATTCTGGTGGCTTCCTCAGAAAAGTAGTGCCAAGGTCAGTGCCAAAGATGTAAGATCACATTAATGAAGTGCTCAGGATTAAATGAGGCGATTCTGTGAGAAACTGAGGCCTTGCATCACTGTATAAAGGGGAGGACTATTTGTAAGAGTGTTCTGCTTAGAAGTATATGCAGGCAGTGCAGTTAGATCTGTTTGGTAGCCCTGGTTTCCTAATGTGACCCGTGATCATTTTTTAAAAAGCAACAACATGTCATTTTACAGTAAAGTAAGTTTGCAAAAGAAATGGAATTGCCATTGTAAAGGAGCTTCATTTATTGGAGGGCACAGGGGCTGTGGACTTTGGCAGGGAAAGAAGACTTTGGGTCCAAGGAGAGGACTTTCCCTTTTGAAGTGGTTCCTACAGGGGACGTAACAAACTAGTAACTATGAATTGTAGTTTGAAACAAAAGACTGATAATTCTAAGTGCTGATTTTTAATAAAGCTTCAGTAATCTCATTTTTCAGCTGCAAAATGGGCAACTCGTGAGAACGATATAACCTGTTCCTTTGAATACTCAAGCTTATACTGTGTATATTTGGTTTCTTTTGTTTAGAATGAAGTGATAAGTCAGCAGCTGTCCGTCATTTTCACTCACTGCTATGGACCCTACCCTATTCCAAAGCTTGTTGAAATTAAGCGCAAACAGACCTCTCGCTTAGGTAAGCCTCAGGTGCACTATAAGGCATGCCCTAAAGTTGTTCTTTGGTTCTTTACGGAGAGCTATGGGAACTCTGCATTGCAGGCTGGGTGCTTTAGGGGAGCACAAGTCAGAGAAAATGTGAATTTGAATGGTAGAACTAGAAAAATGAAGGGCTCTAAACTTAGCCTTACCCAAAACTCCCATCGATGGATCATCAGGTGCATTAGAATGGGACCATAACTCTGCAAAGATTTGTCCGTGTTGCTAGTTAGGCCAAGATAGGAGCCCAGGGCCTAAAGCCAAACATCTGTCCATGCCCGAAACCACCATGCGCCGTGCCTGGCTGCAGCTGATACTTACAGCTCAGGACCTCTTTTCTCACCAGCCTTCCCAGCCCTGCCGACAGAGTCTGACTTGTTTTAATGTGATCTAGAGAAGGTGTGAGAGAGTTTCCTGGCCCTTTTTCCCGTTCAGACAAAGACCTCCCTGCATGGCATAGTTGGGTGTAATAAAGTCCATGAGAATAGGGCCCTCCTGTGTCCGTTCAGATGCAGTTATCTTTGGGTAACAGAGCTAGGAGGTGGTGCCAGCTCTCCACCAGATCGGAGCTATATGGGAGGGATGGCTGTTATCGTAGCAAAGGTCAACATGGATGTCAAAGCTTTGAATTTCCTTTGTCTGAATTGCATTTGGCTGTCTGCGTATCTTCTGTCTCAGACTAAAATAGCTAAAATAGCTATCTGTCTAAAATAGCTTTATGGGCTTTACTCATTAAAAACAATATCCTTTTACACTATTGTCTTTTTTTCGGTCAAAACAGGAAAATATTCTGTATGTTCATGACCTCTTCCAAGCCAAAGTTATTTGTTTGGGTTTTTTTTTTTTCATTTTGTGGTTCTAGATCCCCATTTTCTTAACAACAAAGAGATGTCAGATGTTACATTTCTGGTGGAAGGAAGACCATTTTACGCACACAGAGTGTTGCTATTTACCGCATCACCAAGGTAAAATATAGAAACATTTCTGTTTTTAACAAAAATATAACTTGATTTTGTATTTTTGGGTTTTGTTGCCATTTTGTTGCCTCAATTTTTTGAGGACTAATGGTGCTAACCGGTTCAATCTTCAAGTTTCTCCTAAACAGAAAATCTAAACAGCTTGTTTCTGTTTAATTTGTAGGACATTTTAGCACTCCTGTCCCTGGGCTCCCACCTTGTAAATGTTCCATGTTTATGGCCATGCGTCTGACTTCATTTCACCAAGGCCCACTTGCATGGAGCTCACTGCTGCATCCAGCCCTTAATTGTAAAGGCATCATAATACATTGATTCTTAATAATTATTTATCCTGTGAGCCGCTAAATCCTGCCTTGCATCAGTAAAGGCTACCTCCAGGATGAACAAGTTACTGTCACACAGTTCATTGACAGCATTTTACACTTTTAAAGATAAAATTAAGCATCTACAAGGCATGGCACGCTGTATCCAAAGGCAGTACCTGTGGTCTGCTCCCTGTGCTCAGAAGGCTGGAATCGAGGTTCACCCAGGTCAGCCTAGGCTTAAGGAGAAATGCTTTCTTTCACTGCTCACAAACCCGGTCTGTACGCAGCTTTATAAATAAAGGTGTGCTTTTAAACAAGTTTAGCCAGCCCTGCCTAAGGGCTTATTTCAAGATGTGGCAAGGGCAAGCCATTCAGTTAGTGTAGTTTGAGAAACGGGGGAGTCGAAGATAGACATGCTGCCAACCCATCACCGCATAAAGTAAATCGATTGGTGTATAGCAACTTCAATACCTGACCCTGCCTTCAGCTTAGGAAATGCCTGTTTTGTTTTAGAAAATCTTGGTAAAAATAGAAGCACATTCTGAACTCCAGCTTTAAACTAATTAAATTGTGTTCACACTAGAGTTTGACAGTAGTAAAAGCAAACCATTTTAATTAGCAAGGTGTAGTCCTTGTATGGAAAAAATTACCGTCCAGCAAATGCTGGTCTTGATAGATAAGCTAAGCTTTGCATTACCTCTAGAAGGTCAGATGAATTATCAGAAAGAGGAAATACAAAGGCAGATGTTTCTGACAATGTATTTCCCATTTTCACCTTCTGATCAAATGGGAATACCTAGCTTTGAGACATAGATTGCGAGATACTTATATGTCTCACATAAGTCAGCAATTACTAACTTAAAAGAGCTCTACTGTGTTTTTATCTTGAAAGCCGAGTCTGAATTTCAGGTTTGGCTAATCAGAGAACAGCGACCCATCCAGTTTTCTCTCCTGCCTATTCCTACACAGTTAATGTCTTAGTGTAGTTTTTTAAATATTTTGTTGCAAGCCGTTTTTTAAAGCAGTATGGTGGAAATGGGCTCTTCTTTGAAAGAGACAGCGCACTGTTTTTAAAGGTTGCAGGCCTTCCTGTAAGACTGTGTTGCCTTCAAGCAAAAAAACATTAAGATTCTAGTTTTATAATATGCTCTACAACATTACGGGATCTGAATTTCCTGGACAGATTTTTTTTCTACTGCGATATCAGATGTATTTTTCCAAAATTTTGTATTAAAATTTCCTAAAAGAGGGGCTTCTTCCTTTCAGTTTAAACTTTATTTTATGTCACTTTCTAAATCTTGATGTTATGCAGTGACAAGTTCATTCATTTCAGTGTACTGTTTTTGGAAGAGCTGATGCAGTCCTTTCACTTTGCTGTACTTTTTCAGAGATAACCGGGCTGGTATTTCAATTTTGTTCCTTTCTGTTTAGGTTTAAAGCATTGCTGTCTAGCAAGCCTGCAGCTGATAGTACTTGTATTGAGATCAACTATGTGAAGTACCCCATCTTTCAGGTAAAGTCAGTGCTCGCATTGAATTTGAATGGAACTTTTAGTAGGAACATTGTACATACCCTGCCCGAATTAGTAGATTTGTATTTGATAAACATCGCTCAAAGTAGTCATTTCATGAACGAAGGCGTCATCTCCCTTTAAACACTAAGCTGCATAGTGCTATTGATTGCAAACACATGATGTGCCCAGCCAGCTACAAGAGCATACATTTCACTTACGTGAGGTGTGCAGACATAGTACCTTTCAGTTTAAAGTACCTGCTTCCTTTTTCTCCTGTAGGCTCTTTCAGTATTTAATGGACAGGCTTGGAGGAGACACAGCCTGTTCCTGTCTTTAGCAATATCGTTTAATCAAATATCGTTCATGAAAGAATAGAGCCTTCTTTCTGCAGAGGTAGCGTATACATGTACATGCTTCCCTTTATTTGAGTCAGTGCTCAGACAGTTTCCATATATTGCCTGTTACAGCTGCAGATATTTCCCAGCTGCCTGCAGTAACTTTTAAGCTTGCTAGAAGCTCACTACGAAGAGATCTTAGTCGGCTCATCTTACAGCGCCAAGCCTCCCCCACTGTTTCTCATCTTCCATGCTTGCCCACACACAGCTGGGTGAAGGTGGGGGTGCTGTTGCCAGGGAAGGAATAAGGCACTAACCATTGTGTATGCCATACTTTCCTGAAAAAATGATATGCTAGAGATATTGGAAAATGCCTTGAAAATTCAGAATGAATTAATCAGCTTCCTGTATGCTGTCTGGACCTCACCAGAAGGTCTGGGCGGCATGACTGTTGAGAGTTGAGGAGAGAAGTTAGAGTAGCTGCAAGAAGAAAACGTTGAACTGTGCAGAGAGAGAGAGAGAGAGAGAGAGAGAGAGAGAGAGTAACCAAGTAAATCCTGAAATTGTGAGGTTTGGGGCACTTTTATCTCTAAAACCCTGGTGTTGGAGAGCCTCAGGTGTTCTCTGCAATTACGCCTTGCTCCCTTGATGCCTTGGACTGCTTTTTGTAAACACTCCCTTTGTTTCGTTGCAGCTGGTTATGCAGTATCTTTATTATGGAGGTGCAGAGTCACTCCTGATTAAAAACAATGAAATTATGGAGGTAAGAGATGTTTATCTTAATTGCAGTGGCAGCAATGCTAGCTGATCTGTGTACCATTCACACAAGGGCACACTGGCCCCTGGACAAGACATGAGCCCTCGCGTAAGACCCAGCATCACCTCACCCTCAGTGCCTGGAGTACCCAGGCTGGCTGCAGTCCTGCAGGAGGACACTCACTCTCCTTCCAGCCCTGCTATTTGTCCATTATTGTAACCTTTGCCAATATGAAGTTGAGTGTCACCACAGAAGAAAGAGTAGAAAAGTAATGATCATCAAGCAAAAAAAAAATTGTCTGGAATAAAAATATCTAGCTAGATGCTTTGAGAGGATCCTTTAAGGAGATACGAAGCTGGTGTTACCAAAAATCTGGAAAAAACTCTTGGCAGCATAGTATACTGTCCTCTCTCTTTCTCTTGGCCTAATAGGTGAGGTGGTCTGCTCCAGCGAGGCCATTCAGCTTCTCTGTGCCACACTGTGACTCTTGGCCTGTTAGCTCGGGCGCTTGCAAATCCACACCTATCTCAGGGGTGTAAAAGCCCCCAGTTTTGATTCTCATTCAGGAGAATTCTGGGGCAAGTACCTAGCTTTAGCCATGGGAGTAATCCCACTGGAGCCAAAGTAAGCACATGACCGTCTAATTTTCTGAATGAAGCCTTAAGCTGCACCCTGAGATAAACACAATTCTTTACCCCTTTCTTTCTCCTTTCAAGAATATCACCGAGTGTAAAAATCCAGTCCTATTGGGCCATTTTGCAAAAGCCAAACCAAGCCAGTCGGAGCTGACTGAGCCTTCAGTGTAGCCACACATCCATAACCCGTATGGAGGTTAATTCATCCTCTTCCAAATACGATGTGCTGTCATCACCGGCTGTGATCAACCTAATGGCTGCAAATAAACAAAACTGGGACATGTTTGAGCTATCAAATTCTTGATAGTCATTCGGGGAGGTTTCCTATTGACAACAACCAAGTTATGGCAGCCAAAGGAACACAGGACAGTGAACGCTGAAGTCAGAGCAACTTCTACAGCTGGTAATCACTGGTGTACAGATTATAGTCTGCCAGCATGATATTTTATTATTGCTCACACTAGTTAGTCTGTTCCTGTGACATTACTGTCTGGGGCATCCCTGCGAGGCTTGACTCTCACTGAAATATGGCTAACCAGAAATTGGCAGCAGCTCTTCTCTGGCACATGAGCGGCCAGGGTGAATCAACTCTGGTGGGTACAGGGACATCTGTAACAATCCTACTGGCAACCAGAGGATGGAACTAGTCAGGACTGAAGTTGGCCCTCTCCAATGCAAGCTGTAGATTTTTAACTAAACGTACCCACATCGACCTTCTGAGCTTTATAGAAACAAGTCACTGATTCTCTGTTTTCACTCGCAGTTTTGAAAGATGCTTCTGAATTTCTAACCCTTTCTCAATTAAGGAATGTCAGACTAGATGGTAGAACAGCTTTAGAGAGATGCATATGTAATCACCTAGGTTGTTAAAAAGCTTGTGCTGCGGTTCAGATGGCTTTTGACATCCCAAAACTTCTGTGACTCTAGAATGTATGACTGATTGACTGATCTATTGATAACGGATCTAGCCACGCTTCCTCACACTTTAAAGTAATTACAAACCAGCATGTGACTGCTTAAGCCACAGAGGCAGCTGGAATAGGATTTGGCTTTATCTTTCTGAACTGCATTTAGCAACTTGCCTTATTACAAATATGATAACAAGAAGCACCAGAAATACTCCACAGAAATCTTTGCTGCAATTCATAATTGGGGCCAGCTGGCTGCTATCACATCAGCACTGCAGATTTCCAGCACTTGGATTTATTTATGGGATTAAAACAGAGCTTGAGCAGACTGCATAGGAGAAGGCAGAATACTGTCATGGCAGTTTCAGGGTTTTCTTCCACCTAGCAGCAGGAGAGCGCTTTGGGACTCACAGGATGGCTCTTTGTCACAGGGCCCATGATAATACGGGTCATATAAACGCTTCAAGAGAGATCAACAGCTTGGCCTAAGAGACATGTCTGGGTTAGAGCAAGGTGTCAGGTAATGAAGAACCCCAATGTGATTTCTAGGCCAGAGCAGAGAGCCAGAGGTGATGACCTACCATGAAAAGACAAAAAATTAAATCCCCTTCCCCAGCAGTAAAGGATAGAAAAGGGGCAATAGGAGGAATCCTGGCTGTAATGAAATCAATTGGAAAACTCACAGCTTAAGCCATGCTCTCACCCTGCAAGTTTCAGGTAGTGCCAGCGCAGGCAGCGTACCCATGAGGTGGGTGCAGTGCCAAAGAGAGAGGTCAGTTTGAGTCCTGCCTGCACGAGAGCCACGTTAGTGCATCCACGCTGGCACACCACACTAGTGCTAGTGTTATTAGGCATTACCTTGCACCAAGCCTGTCTGCACGTTTGCATCGTATCCTGCTATGCGCCCACCCCGAGGAGTCCTGCAGAGCCAGACCGTGTTTTAGCGCCTGTGGCCTGGACATGACCTTACCGCTGCTCACAAGCTAGAGCAAGGAGCACGTGGAGATCTGACTCCATTTCCTTGAGTCTGCTGAGGTGGCACATTTGAAGTTTATTACCTCCACAGATTTTTAAGCCGCACAGAACGGTTATTGTCATCTAGTTTGAATTCCTATGTACCGTTGGTCCTGGCCTTTCTTCTGACATCGCCGCATCAAACCCAGGTGTTTCCTTCAGCCAGAGCTTGGGGAACAGTTGAGCCTGAACATTTTCTTCTTGGATCCTTCCATGCAGAGTCATGTTTGCAGAGTGACCAAAGACTCTCTCCAAGATGCTGCTTTCTTTTTGGCACTTTGCCCCACCCAAAGTCAGCATGGAGACCTGACCGGCCAGTAGTGGTCTCTCCAGACAGTGTAATGTGGAGGGGGCTGCAAGGGGTGGAACGAACAAGGCAACTTTCTCGTTCTGACTATTTATCAAGGGTCATTATATTCATTCAAACTGAAGCAGGGTGCTGAGGAAAAAATACTCATACTCATGCTCTCATACTGTATTACTCAGCAGTTCTGACTATTTTTTTCCTTTTTTTTTAGCTTCTCTCTGCTGCTAAATTTTTCCAGCTTGAAGCTTTACAACGACACTGTGAGATCATTTGTGCAAAAAGCATTAATACAGAAAACTGCGTGGATATTTATAATCATGCCAAGGTAAAAATAACCACATATATATGCATGTTATGTATGTGTCAGTCCTCATACTCTATGTGGTCATGGGTCATGATAAGTAGTGATTAATATGTGATATACTTAGTGAGATTTGTTGTGTATCTAGGATTTGTCATGCATTTATTGAGACTGAGTGGCTAGTAGGTACCTAGTATAGTGATAGCTCTAGATCACATCGTATAAGAGTGTCTCTGGCACCTACACATTCCCTTCCCTAACCATTCAAACTCTTATTTGTGTCTACCGCCATGTGGCGGACCTGCCCCTTATAACAGCAACCCAAGATGCTGAATCATTTAACAAGAACCACCTAACTGAATAAGACCTCTATCTTTCACCTTCCACGTGGGATTTTCCCATTACACTTTCCTGTTTCCTTCTGCCTGTAGCCTATAGCGATGTTATACTCAATGTTAATGTCAACTTTTCAATATATGAAAATGTCATGTTGTCAAAGCGCAATGTCTCACAACCTTACCAGGATGGTTAATAAGAATTTTATGTGTTGGAGAGGAGAGATTCACAGCCTCTCACTGGAATCAAATATTTACTTAGCTCATGAGGGGGGCCTAAGTCATCAGACGTAAAGGCATGGCATTTTTAGCTCTAGAACACCTGTTTTAGGTCATTGATGAAGGTGTTTGCCTCATTATTTCTCCTTCTCTTTTGTGCTATGCAGCTAGACTTTCACTTGTGTGATGGAAATGACACAAAAATAGTTGCAATTAAATGTTTTGAAAGTATTCCTTAAATGGTCTTTCCATAACTTAGGCGGTCTATAGTGAAAGCTAAAATGGTGCAGTGTGAGACAGAGGTTTGATTGAACAGAGTGTAGATTGCTCCAAACCCCTGCATATCAGGCATTTATTCCCACCATCAGGTATTTCCTCCAGAGAGTAGTAATGCTAAGTCTTGGTAGACTAGCTAGAGCTAGAGCTCTTTGTGGGCTAATTTGTCCTGCTTGCAGTAAATTACCAGCGTTAGGCTTCATACTGCCATAGCGGGAAGGTTTCCAGGACCTGAACTAACCCATTTAAATGTAGTTCAGATATCACTCTGTTATGCTGCCTGCAGAGTAGAGAAGACCCTCCATCTTTTTGCTTCAGGTCTGTGTGATATGCAGGTTGTTAATGTGAGCACATCTCATTCTACTCAGAGTGCTCCAGTCACACGCGGTAGCTTTATTTGTTTGTTATCTGAGTAGGAGATAATGATATGTGGTGGAGGAGGCCAGATGGTCCTCTTGAGCCCAGCGAGCTTGCAAGCAGTTCAAGTGCAGTTTGCCAGTCAACTGTTTGGCTTTCCGTGTTGCTGTCTGAAGTGTCAAAGAAGCTCATGTTAGAGAGGGTAGGAGGGAAGCGAGGGTAGGAATAAGGTGAGCAGCCACTGAAGCCAGGAATCGCTCGGTCAGCCAGGAGCAGATGACTGTGTCCTTGGACTTGGGCAATTTGCTGCTGTCCTAGGTACCATTTCTAGTGCCTGGTATTTTGCACGTTCGGCTACACCTGTAGGTAGTCAGGCATTGCTGAGACCAGCTTTTCCATATGGGGATACAGGAGCAGGCTGGCTTTGAGTCACAGGGGGTGCAGTCTTTGTCATCATGGTTGAGAGAAAGAAATGAGTTGGCAGAAGCATAGCAGGAATTGAGCAGGTTTGGAAGGTCGTCTGTGTTGGGGGCATAGGCTGTAGGAGGAGAGTGTTCAGCCGGGTGGGGAGCTGGGGGGGAGGGGACGTA